TTGGCCTGCTAAACCCAGGGTTGTGACTTCAATCCTTAAGGGGGCCACTTAGGGATCTGGGGCAAAATCAGTATTTGGTCCTGCTAGTGAAGGCAGGGGGCTGGACTCGATGACCTTGCAAGGTCCTTTCCAGTTCTAGGAGATAGGATTGGGAGAATGCAAATTACTGTTTCCATGTTTTCTGGTCCATTAGCTGGGAGACAGTGGGAGAGGGTGCACACCCACACATGCGTCAGTAGAATTGAAATACACTGATGTCCCTTGCTTGACTGTGAGGATTTTGATGTGCTGCACTAGTGGAACGTGAATGCCATCTTGTGTGATGGTGAGACGTTGGTTGCAATTTTGTTTTCCTGGTGATGGTGTCAAGTTGCTTTTTTAACAGAATCCAACCTGGATCTTTCATTGTAAGTGCCTGATGATAATTACTTCTTCTTTCAAGGACCTACCCATGGATGGCGCTCTGAGAATTTATTACAGTGTGGTGATAAGAGCCCTTAGTTCTCACCCTACTATGATAATAACTCTGAGTTCTCTTTACTTTGCTGTGCTCTTAGGTGCAGACTGCTCATATTAAGCTGTGTAAATAGTATCACAGCATATTATCCTTATAGCACAAAATATAATTGAACTCAATGGGGAAACTGCCCTATTCATTTCAGTGGGACTTTGCTTCACAGAAATAATTGGATCTGGCTACACTAGTTTCAGGAGCAGAAATAAACTTTCCTGATATAGCAAGTGAGGGTGCACTGTTGTGACAATAGCCATTAGAGGGTTTCACCTGGAGATTTTAGTTTTGTTTTTATCAAGAGAAGCTATTATGGAGCCCCAAATGACTAACAATACCACCATCAATGAGGTGTTTAAAACTGCTTTGCCTAGTGGGAACAAAAACACCTCTCTTTTGTTCCTGTCTCGAAAATTAATTGCACAGTATTAGCACCACCAATGAGGTGCTTAGCTTCAGAAGTGCCTTCCCTGGTGAGAATGAAAGCATTGCTTCTCTCTTTCTTTTTTCTTCCTCTTTTTTTTTTAATTAACAGCACATTATTTCTTTCTTTTCTTTTCTACATACACTTCCTTAATCAACCTACACCTATGTGACGCTGTGTGGAATTTGGGGGACACTTTGGGATATTATGCGTACCAATATTGTAAAATTGCAATGAGTTATGCCAGATATGCCGTGTAAGGTATCTGCAAAAATTTTATAATTTGCCAGGTATGATAATCTTGTTTTTGTGTCTGTAGTTCCAAACTTATACTGTGCATCTGGATGACGCCCCCAGAGAGTTTGGCATCAGCACTGCCTAGCCTGCTTGACTGCCCAGCAAGGGACATCAGCTACACAACTGACCCATTGAGAGAAGGCAGAGATACACCTTATGACTCAGCAAGGCATGCAGGGGCATGCCTATGGACAGAACTCTAACTGCCAGGCCATGTGCTGGGCAGCTTGTGTTTGGAACAAAGGAAATCAAGCTGTATGGCAAAAGACTATAAAAGGCAGCTGCATCTTCTCCATTTTGTCTTCATTCCTGCTTCTACTGGAGTAACCTTTCTACAAACACAATAAATTAGGTGCAGTTCACATTTCTCAGAGCTAGTGTTTTAGACTCTCTGCTAACTCAGGCACACATTACTGCATCAGTTACACTTGACTCACACTTTGAAGGTTTTATTCATAACCTGAACAGCTGGAGACCTTTTTTTTTTAAATGAAAACGTAGATTCTGGAACACAAAATGACAGCCTATAAAATACCAGCGCTTTGAGCAGCTGCAATCCAGCCTACTTGACACTTTTCACTCTGTTGGCTGGATGTTTTTTTACCATTCCACTCTGACCTATTCCACAGTATCCAGTTATCTCCTGCACTGCTCTGAAGAGCCCTTTTATTGCCAGCATTTATGCAGCAAAGAGAGTGCATGTGTTTTGGAGGCAGACTTCAGGTCTTGTGCAGAAGAGCCTAGATGAAGGAGGTCCCTTGCTGCATATCCTTGTCTGGCGTCAGATGGATGGGCAGCACTGTCTTTTTTTCAACTTAGGTAACTGGTACCCCCCATTAGCCAATGCTTTCATCCCGCAACATCCAGCCTACAGTTTCTCTTCACATTGTTGCCTTCAGGCCCCCTCCTTATCTAGCCCAGTGATTTTCAACCTGTGGTCTGTGGACCCCTGGGGCTCTGCTGACTATTTCTAAGATTTCACCTCCATTTGAAATTTTGTAGAGGTCCCCAAACGAAAAAAAAGGTTGAAAACCACTTAATTGGACCACCTCCACCAAGCCAAAGCCAACAAGCTGTTGCTGCCTCATTGACCCTCCTGAGCTGAAACCCAAGAAGCTGTTTTCCTGCACAGATGCCCTCTCCAGCATCGGGCCAATCTGCACTGAGCCAAACAGGGGAGGGGATCAGGCTCTCAGGGTGACCACGACAGGGGCGGCTCTATGTATTTTGCTGCTCCAAGCATGGCAGTCAGGGGGCTTTTGGCGGCGCGCCTGCGGGAGGTCCGCTGCCGCCGAAGAATGCCTGACTGCCGCCCCCACAGCGACCGGCAGACCGCCCCCCATGGCTTGCTGCCCCGGGCATGCGCTTGGTGCGCTGGTGTCTGGAGCCACCCCTGGAGCACGAGCTGCCCCGAACAGTGGGAGACCCATATTTCTATGGGCACAATGACACAGAAGGACAGAAAGGGATTTCCCAGGTTCCTTCCTTGGGGCCTCACATCGGGTCTCGTGCGGTCACGGTGCCGGGGCAGGGACCCAGGGGCCACGCGATGGGGCGGGCAAATCCCGATCCCCGGGAAACCTTCCCGCGCTGAACCAGACCCTGACCCTCCAGCCGGGTATCTTGGGCACGGAGCCTGGAGAGCACTCCCGGTGACGTCATAATCACTCATGGAACGAGACGGGACGGACGTTCCTATTTATGAGGGCGGTGCAGGCGGCCGCTTCCCTAAGCGCTCCCGGCTCCGGGTGGGAGGGCCCGAGAGAGACAACAACAGACACCAGTTCGAACCGCACAGCACGCTGGGAAGGCAGCTGGTTGCTGCTTCTCGGTTTCTCCCGCGGAGGGAAGAGGGCGGCCGCACCGGTAGTGAGGTCATAATGGAGAGACGGAAGGAAGCGGCGAATCGGCTGCATCCGTTGTTCTTGGCTCCGAGAGCGGTCCCCGCGCGCCCGCTGCAGCGGCTCGAGGCGGGAGGGGGTCAGGGCTCGCCGGTGGTCGGGCTCGCGACGCGCGTGCAGGCGGGAAGCCGCTGCAGTAGCGGCCTCAGCCGGGGGCGAGGCGGGCAGGCGCCGCGGGGCCGAGCCGCGAACATGGCGGAGGCCGCGGCCTCGGAGCCGCTGGGCCGGAGCCGGCAGGAGGCGGCCTGGGTGGAGAAGCTGCGCGGGGACTGCGAGCCCGAGCACCACTGGCGGCACCGCCGCGAGTTCCTGCTGCGCAACGCGGGGGGCTCGCCGGCCGGGGACAGCGGGGCCCTGCAGCGCCTCGTCTCTCTCTCCATGGTGTGGGCCAACCACGTCTTCCTGGGCTGCCGGTGAGTGGGGTGGGCGGGGGCGGAGGGACACTGGCCAGGGTTGGGGCGCCCCGTTTGCGGGCTGACGGGCGCGCGTTTCCCTTGGAGACGTGCTGAGCTCGCTCCCGTTGTCTCCCCTGCCCAGGTACTCGCTGTCGGTGATGGAAAAGGTGCTGGAAATGGCTGAAGGCATCAAAGTGACCGATGCGCCCGCCCACACTACGAGAGATGAACTGGTTGCCAAGGTGAAGAAAAGAGGCATATCAAGTAGCAATGGTTAGCAGATCATAGCTGTGACAATTCCTAGGAGTCTAGAAAATGATTTTCAAATGTTGAGAACTTGCCTTTGCCCATCTTTAATAATCGGGATTTAATAGCTAGGATTTAAAACCTCCCAGGATAATAGTTTTATGTCAGTGCTAACTCTCATTTGTCAGTCTCAATGTTAAACTTTAAACATGAGAGTACAGTATCTTGCTATTTTAAGTGTTTTAGTGTTGCTGTTTGACTGCATCAAATGCTTCTGAATTACTAAGTTAAAAGTATTCTTTAAATAGGTTTGTCCATGTGTTGCAGGCATTTGTGCTCTGACCTTTCATCCCATTATATTGTGCTCACAGTAGGCTTTTCTAATAGTAATGATGACCAATGTGAAGCATATCCAACTTTATACTCATATTGGCTGTAAATGTGTCTAGTTTTAAAGAAATTGCCAGAAGAAAACAGTGCTTTGAAGAGATTTAGTAAACAAAATAGAGAGGTGTCCAAATCAAAACCTTGCATTTGAACCCTGGATCTATGTTTGTATCATAACACCCAGTTTAGCATATCTCTCTGCTACTGAAATGCCTTGGAATTTCAAGGTAACATTTGGAATCAGATTTCAAACTCTTGAGTTTGTGGGTGTTTAAGCCAGTGGTTCTCAACCTTTCCAGACTATTGTACCCCTTTCAGGAGTCTGATTTGTCTTGCATATCCCAAGCTCCACCTCACTTAAAAATACTTGCTTACAAAATCGGACATAAAAATACAAAACTGTCACAGCACACTATTACTGAAAAATTGCTTTCTCATTTTGTCTGTATGAAATTTAGTATATATTGACTTTTCTAGTGCTTTTTAAGTAGCCTGTTGTAAAACTAGGCAAATATCTAGATGAGTTGATATACCCCTGTAAGACCTCTGCCCGGGGTACACATACCCCTAGTTGAGAACCACTGCTTTAAACTAATCAGTTTTAGGGCCAGGAGAGATTTTTGTTTGGACTAATATCTCTAGAAACTTTAAATCAATTGCCAGTAGACAGGGAGCTATGCTTCTTAGTTATGGAAGTAAGGACATAACTCTATTTGTGTTTTTTAGAAGGGGTAGAGGAACCTTGCAAGAAACGAGCTGTTGACAAAAGTAGAGATTCTAAGGATGTTGGAAATGATTCTAAGTCGACAAAGACAGAAGTTTCCAAGGAGACCGAGAGCATGTTGCCGAAGAAAGAGGAAAAAGATGTGGGAAAAGATTCAGAGCATTCACTGTCATCCTCTATCTCAAACCAAGAAAAGAGCACAGTGCCAGGAACGGGAACAGAAACAAAAGCAGCTAATTATGAAACCACTACCATGCATAATTCAACTGCAGCACCTGCTTCATCTGGAACTGAGTCAAAAATGAATTATCATTCAAGTATGGAAACCAAACATGAAAAGAAGAGTTCATTGCCCAGCGCTGCGGCGGCGGCTTCCAAAAGCAGCTCCCCGGCCAGCGCTCCGCTGGTGGCGGCGGCTTCCAAAAGCGGCTCCCCGGCCAATGCGGCGGCGGCTACTAAAAGCAGCTCCCAGGCCAGCGCAGTGGCAGTTACCAAAAGCGGCTCCCAGGCCAGCGTGGCTACCACCAAAAGGGGCTCCCAGGCCAGCGCTCCACCAGCAGCAGCGGCGGCTACCAAAAGCAGCTCCCAGGCCAGCGCTCCGCCAGCAGCGGCGGCGGCTACCAAAAGCAGCTCCCAGGCCAGCACTCTGGCGGCGGCTGCCAAAAGCAGCTCCCAGGCCAGCGCTCCGCTGGCAGCGGCTACCAAAAGCGGCTCCCAGACCAGTGCTCCGCCGGCAGCGGCGGCAGCTACCAAAAGCGGCTCCCAGGCCAGCGCTCCGCCGGCAGCGGCTACCAAAAGCAGCTCCCAGACCAGCGCTCTGCCGGCAGCGGCGGCAGCTACCAAAAGCGGCTCCCAGGCCAGCGCTC